TACTCCTGAGAAAGCATCTGATAAAAGTCCGATTTACCGTTCTGCACGTCAAGCACATTAATTGCATCCTCTAGTTACTTACTCTGGAGAAGAAACGATTTAGCCCTAAGTTACTGAAACCCATTCATATTATCCCTTCTAAAATGGCACTTAACCATTATATCATTTCTGCTTTTTTTTGTTCACATCAGCAGGTCATTTCTAAATCATCTGTTACTGAGTAGAAATTTATAAAGAACTTATATATTCCATAACGCTTATAAACCACTGCCTCGGATCTGAGAGCAGGTGAAACATGAGGTTGAAGACAGTGATCTTTGTTCCCTTTGAGCTGGGATTTTATGAGCTCTTATGCATGAGTGTATTCGATCAAAACCAGCAATAATATTCCATAGTTGCAGCAAAAAGCCTTCCTTCTAACTGGCTGTATAATCTTTCATAAGGACTTTCTTTTTTCTCCTTTGTTTTATTAGTCCACATTCCTATAAATGTGGCAGGAAAAGGAAAAGCCAAGCTTCTAACTCTCGCCTTTGAGGCCCCGGCCAAAGACACGGGGACAGAGCTCTGCAGGGGGGCCCCCCGAGGAACCGACGTGCCTCGCAGAGGCACACGTGTGTCCGTTTCAGCTGTGCGGCTCCCAGTGTTCTTCAGACTTCACAGACTTTCAGCCTATCCGGAGTATTTTTATATAATGTTGGATGAATTAGGGTTTATCATGCTGTCGAAGTTCCTGGGAACATGTTATATGTGGCTGGTTTAGCAAAGAGCCTGTTGTGTGCACAGCTCCTCTGGAAGCTTTTCCTCACATTGGGGCAGGGTCTCTGACCCACTAGGTTGGAGACAGACAAGAGAAGCCCCACCCAGTTCTCACGACAGCTCCATCAAGAATGCAGGCTGCGCAAATCAAGGATCTGGGGAAAGTATACAGATCAAGAAACGAAGGCTCTCAACTGAGTGTGCTGGAGATTCCAGGCAGGATGAAGGATGAAGGATGAAGATTTGGGAATCTTGTCAATGAAGAGACTAAGCCCAAGGACCTCGGGCCACATGGCTCTGAGCCTTTGCTGCTTCTTCTCCCCTTGAGTTCCACGAACCCCTGCAGCAGCTGGGGTTGCAGGCACGTCCAGGACTTGCTTCATAAATAAGAATAAATCTGCTGTACAATTTGGGGATGTGGCTCTGATGTAGAAAATCAGGTTTGGTCCTGAAATGATTCAGGGTAATTTTGGTCCTCCTTTAGTGGTACCCAGAGCCACGTACTCAGTTTTTTACTGATGAAAGCCAGGGGTCATGATTTCATGGGTCTTCAGATTTTAATCATAAAGGGATATTGATCTTACATTTGCAGGTTCATTTCTATAATGGTGCCCATGGTCAAGAGTGAAAAAGATGGACAGATCTCATTCAATCTTGACACTTTTAACTTGTCTTGGGAAGAAGCTTACATTTTAGTTTAAAAGAAACAGCAATCATATCCATGCTTAAAAGAATTAGCAGAAGCTTTATAAGTGACTTTATAGATACTAATAAGGCATTTGATCTTTTTTGTTATTGAGACTTTTGAAATGTGGAGTTTAAATGCAAATATGCTCTCTTTATGATATTCTGCTTTGTATGTTATATTTGTTATATTTTCAGACTCAGTATGTCTCTTATGCAGAACTGTTTAATGGATTCTTGTGTGTGGACAGGCAAAATGGGCGCCAAAGGGAAGTCTTGCCAATGAGGAAGAAAATTTCTATGTGAGCACGTGATGATATGTACGATGTGTGTGCTCTTTGTAAAGTAAGTTTTCAATCCTTAAAGCTCACCAGAATTGAATATGAATGTTTTATTTCTCAATGAAATAAACACAGTTCTTTGAGGAGGCACTGCTGCATTCCCCTTTCATTCACACACACTCGCATTTTTGCTTTCTTGGCACTGCTCTTTGCTGTGAGATGACTGTGGTTCCTTGACATGATCACCTTTGAATTGTATTTTGAGTTGACATTTTGGTTCTGGTAACAATAAAAAAATTTTAATTGTCAAGAAAAATCAATTTTCACTCTTTCTCTTCTTTTTGGACACGTGTCACTCACTGATAAACACTGTCCCACGTAACAGTGTGCTGCATACCCAGACAGCCAACTACTGATGGAAATTAAGAGGTCCACCTTCAACACATATTCGTTGTTCCTTTGCAGGCTCTTGGCGCTGTTCCTAGACTCGTATGTGACCCTGAAAGACATTCAAGACCCTTTGCTGGTCTTGTGTCACTCTTCCATTGCCTGGTTTACTTCTCAATATACAACTCTCCGCCCAGTGTCCCCTGTGCTGGGCTCAAGTCAAGTTGTCAGTTACAGATTTCATGCCCAAGAATAGAATTTGTTCTCACGATTCCCCACACACATTGCAGCTTTGAAAACATCCATCTCAGTGCCAGAAATGAAGACACTAAAGATGTGTGTCAAGGCGTCTTTCGCTGACAAGGTAAATATATGGGTGACTTACTAGGACCTCTCTATGACCCTACAGCATCTTCATCTTTTATGCAACTCTTCCTTATAAGAAAGGACAAAATCAATAAGTCTGTTAGAGTTATACCATTTAAAATTGGTAGGATGAACAAAGAACGTGAAAACAATGAAAATCAAAAAATTAAAAGAAGTACAGAGTTTATTTTCAGCAAATGTCATAGCTGTATTGCCTTATTATTACGGAATCCAGCAGTCCCTGGACAGGAAAAAGTTATCCACAACTATACAAAACAACGTTGAGGTTTGGCAGAAGATGGTAGTTAAGTACAGTGTCTTAGTTTGATTACTGTCAATTATTTCTGAGCATGCTAAATTCCCGACCCATGTTCCAGCTTCTAGAGGTGTGGATTCTTCACTCTGTCTCCCATTCAATTAATTATTTCTCATTATTTCTTCAATCCAAGGAACAAAGTTTGAAACACGAACATACACACCAGGCTTATTGGGGCGTGCACAGCCAAGACCCCAAGAAGTGACTCCTTGTAAAATGTATTTGTCCTTCTCGAAGCAAACCAGAGGCCCTCCACTGTCACCCTGTTGCAGAGGGAGGGGAAAAGCCGAGTGAGGATTAAGCGTCCATCCTTTTATCATGGGGTGTCATCCTTCTATAACCCAAATGTCAGTTTCCCTGGTGTTTGAACATTCCATTCCCATCAGAAAGGAACTTATTAACATATCGTTTGAACATCTGCTGTGCTTCAGCACTTAGCACAGTCTATGCAACAAAACCATTTAGTGCTTCCTGGGGGGGGGACCCCTTGTGAAAACTGTACTCACCCCTTCCTGCCTTGGGGTTTCTCGTAGGCACAGTGACCCCAAGAGCACTCGTAAAGGAAGTGCAGCTGCCAACCTCTCCTCCCCACTGGAAAGGCCACCACTGGGGTCGCACCGCCAGCGCCCTGTCAGAGACCTGTGGGCCGTGGCTGGGATGGGACCTAACTACTCCCTCACCACCAGTCTGGAACCCAGGCCAACAGGAGATGAACTTCGGTCGCTTTAGTCTCTTCTTACCTGGCAACTGTCGGTGCCTCCAGCCAGGTGCCCTGCACAGAGCTCACTGGATGTGACTCTCCCGCCCAGATACTCATAGCGATTACACACTTTGTTCTCAATCACAGGGACCTGGGCTTCCTTGAGCAGGCCAGGCCTGGAAGTGCCTGTGTTTAATAAAAAGATTAAAGAAATGGTTACTGGATGAAAAACACGTCCACAAGGAAACCTCTAGAACAACAGGGCAGCAATGACAGATCTCTTGTTTGTCTGTGAGGTTGGATGGAGAGCTCTTTCTTTCTTTTTCATCCTTGAAAGTGTAAACATTATATAAGATCTCCTGTTCCCATGACCTAGACTTAATTAATCTGGGCTTCTTTGGGGAGAGTTTGAGGTTCGTTTTTTAAAACTATAAAGAAATTTTTAAAAATTTATTTTATTTTACTTTGGAGAGGAGGTCAGTATGTCTATTTATTTATTTATTATTAGTTTTTTTTTTTAATCGGGGGGACTGGGAATTGAAGCTAGGACCTTATGCATGCTAGCATGTGCTCTACCATTTGAGCTATACCCCATCCCCCTCCGAAGAAATGTATTTTTAATCCAGAAAGAGAGATTAATTTTACTGCTACCATTTGATATATTATTGTCTTTCAGGATTTTTATAGGATTTTTTTTACTACTTATATCATATCATAGATTTTTTTCACACAATGTTATAGCTTAAGGGCTTCTCTAATACTGCAATCTTTATAATCAGTATTTTAGTGGGGACTGACTGCTTGCTGAGTTTGGGATTCCTTTTGGGGTAAGGAAAGCATTCTGTAAAGAGCGGTGATCATTGCACAATGTTGTGATTGTATGAAATACCCCTGAACTATATACTCTTCAAACTAGTTAAAAGAGTAATTTTATGTTATATATATTTTACCACAGTATAAAAAAAAGAAGAACTATCATTTACTGAGAATTAACGTTTTCAGGCACAAGCTCATTATGTGGTGTATCTTATTTAATCCTTACAACTGCCCTGTGACATAAGCACTTTTGTCATACCTCTTGTTCAATTAAGGAGACTGAGGCTCAGGAAGGGTGTGTAGCTGGCCCAAGATCACCCAGCAAGTAAGTGGCAGAGCTGGGATTTGAACCCAGATCTGCAACGTCACTGCCCAAATTCTTCACCACCATGCTCACTGGCTTCTAGAGTTGCTCTCAATGTATCACACCTTTATTCATACAGTTTATTCCTATCCCTTATTTTCTCAAGTCTAAGTTCCCAGGAATTATATAGACATATTTATGGCTCCCAATAACATTGGCAAATATATTCTAAACGTCTGTGACAGCGCAAAATGTCACAAGAAAAAAACTCGCCACAACACACCATTCTAAGTGTGTGGTTTCTAATATTTTTTAAATATTTACTAATGTAATAGGTGGTATTGTCCTAATTCATTTTCTAGTTTACATTTCTTTTCCAATTAGGGTCAGTAAACATTCTCCCACATTTTTGCTTTACTCACTGTGTTTCCTTTTTCGTGGGGGGAAAAACCCTGCTTTTTTATTTTGGTAAATTGAAATAGAATCCTTACAAAATTTCAAGAAGAAATGATGTTCCCCAGATGGACACCCCCAGGCATATCTCAGTGTTTTCACAAGGAATCCAGTTTTCCAATTTTGTAAGCCCAGCTTTCATGAGTTTTGCAAAATCTTTGCTTTGCCAGTCTGGCACAGCCAAGAAATAAAGAATTATTTCTTCGCCAAAGACTTTGAGTACACTTGGGAAATTGTCTTGAGCTCAGAAGACTTACACTTGATCTGGAGCGGACAGGAGCACCTAAGAGGACCACCATGGGGAAGGAGGGGCTTGTCCCTGTCCTGGCCGGGCAGAGCCACCGCGGAGGAAGTTCCTGACCACAGAAGAACTGGGTGGTGGGTGCATTACTTAAATTGAGTAGATATGTGGAGGGAGCAGCGTTCTCAAAAATGTTTGCTAAAATTAATTTATTCAAGTGTCCTGTACTTAATCTGCTTTCTGAGCCAGGCAGATATTCTGATGCTGGGGACAAATCCACTGCTGACGAAGGGAAGTGGTTGTCGTCTGTGCAGAGGTGCTGCCACCCTGTGGCCACAGAACAGATGGCACTTTTTTTGAGGGTCTGAGGCTGAGGGGGACCTAGGGACCCGATGGGGCCCGGGGAGAAAGAAGCAGGTCCCTGAAAGCGCCCCACGATTGCTAATGAGCGGCTGGCCTGAATGACCCCCTTGGCATCAACAACTTGCGTTTGCACATGGAAGTCAGGGAAAGTCTTGAGACTGAAGGGGAGAACCTGACCTCACACGGAGAGGCTGAGAACTCTTATTTGATGTCATTATTGACATATAGAAAATTGGTAAACAGATCTGGCTCATGTTTGGTGATTCTTAGTCCAATGAATACACTGAGAATCATTCTCTCAGTTAGACATTCAAAGGAGGCCTGGAAAGACAGGGGAGCCCAGTGCAGGATGGTGGTTAGAAAAGTGTGGTGGTGGGTGGTGGGTGGTGGGTGAGACAGGAAAGCAGTGAATGGGCCTTGGAGTCTGGCAGGCCTGGGTTCCACTGGGGCTCAGCTACACACAGGCCATGTGATGTTTATTGATGATAGTGATAGTGGTGATGATAGGGAGGGTTGGGGGTTAATCATGATGGTGATGGTGATGATGATGGTTGTGAAAATGATAATGGTGATGATGGTG